TCACATACATATACACATGAACATGTCTCTAGTTACACCTACACAAAATAACTAAATTATCAAATAATTGTTATACAAAATATACTAAGATAATTGTTAAAACTTAATATAGGACATATTCATGGAAAACTAAAAAAAAAAAAAAACAATACATGCAAAAAATATAAGTTTTAAAGTTTTAATATGATTTGCTACCAAACACAACTTTTGATAGCAAAAATACCTTTTTGCCACCAAAATATGAATTTGGTAGTAGAATCATGTTTTTTGCTATTAAAATTTGGTACTAGAAAATTATATTTTTTGTTACTAACATTATTTTGGTAGTTGAAAGCATATTTTTCGCAACCAAATTTAAATTTGGTACTAGAAAGACATATGTTAAAAATTAAAAAAAAACATTTTAATGACAATTTATTTTAAAATCATTTTTCTAGTAACATTATAACAAAAATACGGTTTTGAAATTGAAATACATTATTCAAACGTAAAAATCAATTAAATAGCAAGATTATATACTACTCTATGTAGAACATATACTTAATTAACAAGATCACATATGTATACACATGAACATGTCTTTTGTTACACCTGCACAAAATAACTAAATTATCAAATAATTGTTATACAAAATATACTATGATGATTATTAAAACTTAATATAGGACATATTCAGATAAAATTGAAAAAAAAAAAGCAATGCAAGCACAAAATATAAATATTAATGTTTTTATATGATTTGCTACCAAACACAACTTTTGGTAGCAAAAAACGCCTTTTTGTCACAAAAATAAGAATTTGGTAGTAAATTATTGTTTTCTGCTACCAAAATTTGGTAGCAAAAAATTATATTTTTTGGTAGCAAAAACTTGATTTTTCGCTACCAAATTTTGGTGACAGATAGTTATATTTTACTTCTAACACTTGGTAGCAAATGTTATATGTTTTGCTACCAAAAATAATTCGGTAGCAAATACCTCGGGCGGGAAAAAATTTTACTTCCCACCAACTTTTTGTTACCAAAACATGTTTGGTAGCGAAAAAGTAATATTTTGCTACCAAATTTTTGGTAGCAGAATCTTATGCTTTTGTTACCAAATATTATTTTGGTAGCAAAAAGCTATTGGCGGGGACCAAATTTTATTTTCCGCCCTGTTATTTGTTACCAAATTATATTTGGTAGCGGATTGTGTTGGTTTTGCTACCAAATTTGGTAACTAAAGCCTTGATACTTTCAGCTACCAAAGTTTAGTAGCAAAAAGTGTGTTTTCTGTTACCAAAAATTTTTTGGTATAAAAAAGTTTGGTCTCTTAAAGTTTGATGATGTACCATGATAAGAATCTAGTTTCATTAACTAACATAAAAATTTTAGTCAATTATCCAATTTGTTACAACTGTTGGATTAATATTTTACTTCTAAAATAATAATACATATTGATAGATAAATCGTAAAGTGACCATTAAAACCACACCCATTTATTAAATTATCTTTTGTTCCTCTAACGAAACTTCTATTCTAAATCAGTAGTACTGTAAAAAATACTAGAGGCAATTAAAGAAATTAGAAAAGAACAACTGAGCACTTGTATTGACTTCCTACTTAAACAATAGAAACTGACATGAATATAGCTGTATGATTAAAAGATTATTATCACATATGTCTATGAATTTTGGGGTCATCTCCACTTTGTCTCTTGAATTTAAAAATCTCCACTTTACTACTCTAAACTTTCATGAACATCCATTTTGCCCCTTATGTCACAATTTCCGTTCAAAAGAAACGGAAAACTTCCCACATGCACTCACGTGTATGGTGTTTGAGGGTAAAATCGTTACTGACCTTTTATCACACCTAGATTACTTAATTTGTCAGCACAATAATTAGCCTATCTATATACATGAAAAAACCTAAAAGTCAGCCTTTTAGACAATAGAATAGCCCGATTCCATGCATTCCGCAACTTCCAAGGCACATCTAAAGAGCTAGACTTAAGAAGCAAAATGACCATAATTGAACAATTTTCAAGCCAAAGTTGTGCCAACCATTCTCATAAGCAATAAAAAAAGGATTAACAATTGTTTACAGCCTCTTGAAATCGATCGAGTAATTATTACCAATTACAAATGAAGCTCACAAGAAGAGTACTTAAAGAAAAATAAACTACAATGTATAACTATAATTTTTCAGAAAGATTATAAGATGAAAACTAAAACAAAATGAAATTATAATACAAAACAAGGTTGGAAGTAAAGCAATTTAAAACGAATATGCAGTTGAGAGAGAAAAACAATACAGAAATTAGTCTAGTCAATCATTACAATTTGTAGTTACTCCAAGCAGTAGTATCATAGTATCCTATGACCTATATATGAAAAAAGCGGTACAAAGAAGTTTACTCAGGAAGATAAAATTGAATTAGATCCCCATGAACACAGTAAAAATCCTGGTTTAATGTAGTCAGTATAAATGCTGCATTAGTTATAAATTGATATAGTAAACGTGTTTAGGGAATCATTAGCAAATTAAAAAAAGTCCTGAGACAAGAACTAGGAAAATTTCACTAAAGTTTCCAATCCTTAATTTCAAGAGAATGCACAAAATATAGTTCACCATCTACAATGCACATAAAAAGATTTCAAGAAGTTCTCTTAAAAAAAAAAAAAAAAAGAGTGCTAAGACTGATGAAGACATATTGATCGGTTTGTAACATGAAAACTACAAGCTTTATCCACGAGATGCAGAAGTTGCAGTAGGTCTCGAGTCCATATAACAAATAATGGCCACTTACTCGAACTTTTCCTTGCATTGTAGGTCCTATATGGCATGCTCCAGAATAGATTTACAAATGCTCTATTGACAATGTGTTAACAGAAGGTGAAATCCAATGTAATGACTTCCTGAACATCGCCTTTCTAAACAAAGGACGTACGAGCGGTTTTTACCTTCAAATCCTTGAGATCAAGCAAGGGAGAAGGGTAGACTTTCCTCAGTTCATTTGGAATGATGAGAGCCTCAAAGATATTAACCACAACAAATACAGAAAAAGGTCAGCATCATTTTGGATTATACTCACAATAGCCACCAAATCAAATACTTAACGGCATTGTGAAAAATAGTAACTTAAGTGCGCAGGTATAGATAAATACCTTTTCGGAAGAACAAACTATGTGAACATTGTTGGCGCCATTGAGTTCTGAAAGAAAATTTATCATATTACTATACCACTTCATACCATAAGTCTTCTCACGGCACGCTCAGTGAAATTTTGATCATCGACTTGCCAACATTCTTAAAGGAAACTAAACTTGGAGTTTCAATTTTTGCCTCAGCCTCCAGTGAGTCCAATCTGTCAGAGTCGCTAGTGAAGACCAAGTCTCTCAGGCGTTGATTCCTGATTTTGATATGTTTCAACCCAGGGCAATTTTTAAATTCAAACTCTCAAGGAAATAGATTGATGTTCCACTTGCGGCTGCCATATCTTGATCGTGCACAAAGTAATCAAGTTTCAGTAAAAAAAAAAACTTTAATTGTTTGACAATCACAAAATCGGCCGCCAATCACATCACTTTGAAAGGATGCTCATTCGGAGAGCAACTATTAGTTTTAAACTTATAAAAAATCTTCTAATTGTGGTGAGACCTTTTTACTGTGTTCTTTACATTTTTCGGGAAAAGAATTTAAAGTTTTAGAAAGACAGCGAACTGTCAGTTGAAGAGATTTTACCGTACAATTTTAAAAACGAGTGATGCTCACTGAATCATAACCAGTTAATTGTTTCAAGTACTTAGGCTGCAAGATAAAGAGGGAGTCTTTTATTGTATAAGATTAATCAGCTTTCGCTAAATTCTCCAAAATGGAAAAAGAAAAAAAAAAAACGTTTATTGCAAAACATTCAAACACAAGTCCAAAGCATATTAATTAGATTCCTGCTTAAACAACAGTTTCTGATATGAGTACAGCTGTATGATGAAAATATCAGAGTAATGTGATGATACAAAATATGAGAAAAATTCATACTCATATGCTTAAGAAATTATTATGAATTTTCTTCAAAAGAAACTAATATTTTGTCGATGGAAGTTGTGATTGGAGCCTTAGCGTTTTTCATAAAAAAGCTCCGCAGACTCGCCCTCTCGTCAAAACTTTCAAAGACGATCTCCATTTCAATCCTTGTCAAATCATGTCGCCAGCATTTTATGGAAGAAAAGATACAGCACCACATGATTTTATCATGCTCGTCTTCTTGCAACTTTAAGGTAGGAGCATAGTAAAACTGCAAAATTCAATTAAAAAAAAGATATGTAGTCACTCATCTCAATCAATATATATAAATATATGCTTGATCAAAAAAATATGAATGACAATGAGAACAAGGAAGTTAAAATTAGTACGTGTGGCATACAAATTTTGCTATATGTCCACGACTTTATAGAGTTAAACTGGAAAAAGTTAGATTAGTTTGACAAATTCTTCCATAAACACGTTATCAAAATACGGAAATTAGAACTTGAACCCAGAGTTTATTTAGAATGAATAGAGTACTATAAGCATAGAAGATAAAATAATACCGAAAACAAAAAAGGAATGTACTTGATAAGAGTGGCAAGATTGAGGATGACACAAATTCTCAAAACACTAATTAAGCTTGTAGAAATTGTTTATGAAGAAACACCAAAATAATGGTAGAAACAAGTTACGAACCTTGAATGTTGCAAGTACGTTGGAGGCCACAGTGATAGATATAGTCTTGGGATGCGGAGCAAGCCACAGCAAGCCCTCAATCAAGTGCACCATACTCGGAATTTTGTTTTCCAGCCTTATAATCAGATGCGGCAGATCAAATAAGGGACAAACCATTTTCTTTCTTGTTTCTAAGGGAAAAATTAACTTCTGCAAAAAAGAAAAGTCAAAATAAAAGTAATTAAAGAGTAATTAAAGGGATGAACTTCTAAATGTGTAAATTCAATAAAAAAATACACGCTCGTATAAACGTCAGCCATCAACAATCAATTACCTCATAGTCGTTGCAAGCCAGAGTCAACGATTTGCATTGACCAAAGTTGCTGATCAAATCCCTCAAGCTTTCGTAATAACGATTATCTCTCGGAATTACAAGATAATCCAAGTGAATCTCGGAATTTGGCAAATATGAGATGACTGGAGATGAGAGCAAAACAGGTCCACTGTAAACGAGCGAAACTAGATTTGGAGCATCGATCTCAACAGCTTGCAAATTTTCACAACGAAGCAACTCCATATGTTTCAAGTGCTCGGCATAAAATGTAATCTCCTTCAACAATTCGCACCTTTCTAATTTGAGATTCTCCAAGAATTGAAACCCGCTTGTACAAATTTTTTCCTCCGACCATTCCTTCGACACGTTTGCTGATCTAACACTAACTAATTGCAGATCTTTTAGGCGTATACACTCGGTGAGGTCGATGTTGCACCATGTGTTAGCTTCAGATCGAAAAGCCTCAAGGTTTGGTGCAACTACATCGACATTCTCAAGCGCAGCGCAACATTGCAAGTCCATGATTTTGAGACTGTTGCTGAGAATACGCACATTCTTCAGTTCTTTGCAATTTGCCAGTTTCAGAATCTCGAGGGAAACAAATAGAGATACTTGATTCTTTAACCACTCGTCGGTAATGGATGCGGTTTTCAATATTACAGTTTTGAGAGAATTACAAGAAACAAGATTGACAATCTCGCAGTTCTGCTCAGCGGCACCTGTATACGAAAAAGAATCAAGACTTTTAGCGCCGTCAATACGAATCCTCTCAAGTCCTATCCAATTCTCGAATTTCGCGGTCTTGAGTTTAGGGCTGCAAACATTGATGGTAATTTCCCCCGCACTAGTGCAGTTGATGATACTAAAATCCTCGATCAAAGGACAGCTTAGTACCAAGTTTGTGCTGTTCAATTGTAAGCCGCCCAACAACATTCGCTTGATTGATTTACAAGATAAAACCTCTTTCGGCAAACCGCGCACCCGACTATTTACGAAATTCAAGAACAAGTCTTTTACATTGTTCTGCATCGCAAAGTTTGCCATCCTTCTGAGCGTCGCCTTAGAATCGTCCTCATGAATACGGTTTAGACAAGCCCTAAAACTGAGCCGCTGGAGATCAGATTTCAACGCTCTGTGTTCGAGAGCTCGGGTTACGAGATCGAGGAACGTGTTCGTCGTGAAAACGTATCTCGAAAAGGACTCCATCAAATAGAAATCGAAATCGAGTATCGGGAAGGATCTCCACAAAGAAGAAAAGCTCTTCGACAAGGTGCTTATGTGGGTTGAATCCACCGTAGGAAGAAACGACATGATATGGTGGATGATGTGCTTAGGCAAATCCGAGAGCCGATCAATATTATAATTCTCAACATCCACGTCGTTTTTCTTATTGGTCTTTCTCTTCTTTTTTCTGGTTGATACTAGTGCTTCTGAATTGACAAAGTCTAAAGGGGATTGTTCCATCACGAAGGTTTCCTAGTCTACGAGCAGAGTAGAGGCTTGTACGGCTTGATACCTATGTATCAAATAAACAAATAAAAAAAAATCCTATTAGGAATCAAATATGGTAGGTAAAGCTATTTGGATTCTTTAGGATTTTGTTTTTTTCTTTTTTGATTTTGGATTGTTCTTTAGGATTTGTATTTGGAATCAAATATGGAAAGGCATTATCTTATGTCAATTATTTTGGTCGCCAAATTTTTTTTAATACAAAAATAGGAAAAAAAATAATATACCTACTCGATAAAGATAAAATAATTGATATTATAGTAAAAAGATTTGTGATTTTAAAATAATATATTTGTATAAAACATATATCAATCAACACTAATCTCTTGTCTATATTAGGAAAAGAGTATTTATATATTATTTTCTTTATTTGTATTTATTTTCATACATGCAAAATTTTTAAAAATGCCATATAAAAGATAACACTATTTATTTCTACCATCAATTTTAAATTTATCATTTATGCCATTAATATTTTGGTAGGATATCTTTCATGTTCTACTAGAATAATTCCTTTTTGGGAGAAGGAGGGAAATAGCATATTTAGTAGGATGTTTAGTAAATTATAACATATTTTTTTAAGATGGTAGATTACAGCATAATTTGACTTGGTTCTTATTTTCTTTTACATAGAATAATCCCTTTTTTTTGGGGGGGGGGGGGGGGGGGTTAAGCGTTGGGGAACTTCGGTCCCTAACCTAAACTTGATGATGGAATTTTGAAATGTGCGTAGGTAACAACATAAATATTGAAATTTTAAGAAACTCTGGGGCAAAATATTTTAATTTTAAAGATTTCATGGCTAGTGAAAAAGAATATTTATGTGACATTTAAGTAGAATACTGAGTGAATGAATTGCGTATATACCCCGGCACAATACATAATTGCTCAACTTATATAATTGAAGCATTATATATTATATAAATTGGAAAATTTTGGGAGTATTCGATTAGCCTTCTCTAACGTAACACAAAAGATGTAAAAACGGTGTTCCTATTCTTTCAGAGTATGTTTGGTAGGAGGAACGGATGAGGGGAGGGAGAGGGATAGAGGGAGAGCTCCAATATATTCTTTGGTTGGAAAGAGAGGAAGAAAGAGAGGAGAGGTGGAGGAATGTAGTCTCCCTCATGGCCCATCAAATTAGATCCTTCCATCAATAGAATTATTCAAGTAATGCACACTTTTTAAGCTTTGAAAGACTATTTTACCCTTTAAATAAATTATTAACAAATAGTTTAAATGGACAATTTAATAATTTCATAAATAATTATTATTCATCATTTTAACTCTCCTTCCATCTTACTAAACAATATGAAGGATTATTATAATCATCTTCATCATTCTTACTCTCCATCTGTCCAACTCTCTCCATCTTTCTTACTCTCCATTCTACAACCAAACGGAGCCTAAAACTTGTTTCATATTTTTAAGTTTATTTTTTTATTGTTTTTATATAATATATCCAACACTTAATCTAATTTATTTTATCTGCCAATGTTTTTTTTTTTTTTTGGCTCTCAATGAGTGAATTTCAACGTTCTTTAAAAAATTTTGCTCTCCTTTTACCGGAAGATTGAATATTGGGATTTGTTTTACGCCTATTTATTTATTTATTAATCAGAGAGAGAGACAAATGCAAGACATTTTTATTAATTTCCCAATTCCCATATATATTGCTCCTGTTTGGTTTGTAATTATTTTAAAAAGAACAATAACGTAATTAATAATTACCGGATAAGTGTGTGACTATTTTGGACAAAAAATTACATAAATGGAATGCAATCGTATGATTTTGGCTCAGTTCTTAGTACTTATTCTAGAAAAAAAAATTTACTGGCTATTGATAATATTGTGCAGAAGAAAGATTTTCGATAGCTTTTCAAGGATTATGTCTTCCGGTGAAGAACTCAGTTTCGAGCTTTCTCATTCATAACTAGTCCTTTTCTTTCTTTATAATCCATTTTCTCAAAGAGAGACAGAAGCAAAGAAAACCATTTGACCTCCCACAAGGCATTGTGTTCTATGTAGTGCTAGCACTGAGATCTTGTAACGTATTTTACTCCCTGTATTTTCTGTGCTTTAAGTTCACAAATTTTCCTTATTTTATGATTTTTTGTGTATAGTTTAAGCTTATATACATACATATGTGTGTGTGTGTGTATATATATATATATATTGTTTTACAGCAATCTATCTGGTACTCCTCTTTTAGGTGTGTGTTCAGCTCATGAGAAATGGCTAATTCCGAAACGTATGATGAGCGAATGATACAAAATTCACCTAACCAACTATCGAGATCCGGCGAGTTAGGAGTTTGCAACAGTCCTTGTTGCACTATTTGCCCAACATATCAAAGTTTGAGAACAGCTCAACCAAAAGCCATAAAAGCTTCAAGTTTGTTAAGTCATAAGGTGGGTTTAGAGTTTGGTAGTTTGGTTCACAGAATTTGAGGCTTTGTACTCTATTCAAATATTTTCATTTGATTTGTTAATTCTCCTCATTCTTTTGTTTTTCTGGGGTTCAAAACATAATCTTCTTCTTTACAAACTTTTTATGTTTAAAAATTCTTTTGGTAGTTCTATGAAGCACTTTTCTCCGAAGCTAAAGTTTGGATAAAGCGATGTTTCACATTCCTATGTCCATATATTCCTGGAGTCATAAACTCACATACAAAACATGTGCAACAATGGATCAAATTCTTCGTCATCGCTTGCTTGGTGGCGGTTTTCGTGGACCCTTTGTTTTTCTTCTTGTTGTCTGCACAACAGGTTCGGCTCTTGATGGAAGCTCCATACCTATTTGACTATTTTTACTTACCAATGTTTAGGAATTTGTCTTTTTACCGAATCACTTGATCAAATAGTACTCTATTGCAGGGGAACAAGTGCATATTTATTAACCAGCCAATGACCAAAACAATAGTGGCTTTCAGGAGCATGACTGACTTCATATACTTACTTCATATGCTTCTTCAGGTGTCTTACTCTGCCCTCTTTGTGTTATTTTATTTTTTAATCTTTGTAAAAATGTTTGCGAACTAATTCGGGTGTTGATTGCAATTGTCTATATCACAGTTTAGGCTAGCTTGTGTGGCTCCTGAATCTAGAGTAGTTGGTGCTGGAGAAGTAGTTGATGAACCAAAGAAAATCGCTCTAAATTACTTGCGCGGAAAATTTTTCGTCGACTTGTTTCTTGTTCTACCACTTCCCCAGGTTTGTCCGTCCTCTTAACATGCCAAGTCTTATAATGCTCTCTTCTTGGTCTATAAATTGGTTTAAGTCCTTGAATTACTTGCAGTTAATAATTCTGGTAATCCTACCAAAGTTCCCAGAATTATTGGGAGCAAATTACGCAAAAAATCTTCTGCGGACGGCGGTTCTTGTTCAGTACATTCCCAGGTTGTACAGGTTTCTACCTCTGCTTGCTGGTCAGTCTCCAAACGGCTTCATATTTGAAACAGCATGGGCTAACTTTGTCATAAACCTTCTCACTTTCATGTTATCCGGCCATGTTGTCGGATCCTTCTGGTACCTCTTTGGCTTACAGGTGGGTGATGTTTTGTTTTAGTTTTCCCTTTCCAAGAGTTCTAAAATTGTATTTCTAGTAATTGTCATTAGGAACTAGGTACCCTAATTCTATGCTATTGCTATGCTATTGAGAGCAATAAAATCGAAGAAGAAAAAACAAACAAATAAGAACACAAGATATATAGCGTTCACCCTAAGTGTGATAACTACATTAACTTTCAGTCGCTGCAGGAATTCATTATAAAAAAGATTACGAGTAAAATGGCGCCTCACATCTCTCTCAGACTCTGTGCTTTCTCTAAGTTCTCTAAGTAACCCTAAAAAGGGTAACCTTTTTATATAAAGAAAATTAGGGCAACCAAATTTATAAGTGTGAAGACCCTGAAGTACCTTTGATAAATTTTTGCTCCGGAGTCCGGCGGCTCCATCCCTAACACCCAGGTTCTCACCCCCTTCAACCCCTACAGTGACTTAACACGTTATTCCTGCGTTACGGCAATAATTAGACTTCACAACTTAACAATTGTGTTCCTCCCATTTGTTTCTCTTTGTTCATTTCTCTGGTGTTCTATTTGTCCTTGAACTAATGGTTTTAAATAAAGTTGGGATATTATATCAATTTTTTTAGTATATGATTGCGTTGTTTCATGTTTCAGAGGGTCAACCAATGTCTTCGAGAGGCCTGCCATAACTCTGGAATCGAGTTTTGCATGAGATTCATAGATTGTGGAGACGGAAGTGCTACCAAAAATTTTTTAAACGACCCAACTTGGGATGGCTGGAAAAACAATGTTAATTCTAGTGCATGTTTTACTGAAGAAGGTTTTCCTTATGGAATCTACAATCGGGCTGTGAATTTGACAACCCAAAATAGCATAATAACAAGATATGTATATTCATTGTTCTGGGGATTCCAGGTATATATTCCTTATATCTACTTGTACTTGTATCTATTGTTTTTAAGCTTTACTAATATTCTTGTAACTCTATATGCTGTCATGAATATGAATGTCTAATTCAAAATTTTTGGAGCATATAAATTATGAGTTTTTCTTTAGACCTGCTGACATTTTATGGTCTCTGTGATTTCATGTAGCAAATCAGTACTCTGGCAGGAAATCTAACTCCAAGCTATTTTGTATGGGAAGTCCTTTTTACTATGGCGATTGTCGGACTTGGCCTCTTGCTCTTCGCTCTTCTCATCGGAAATATGCAGAATTTTCTTCAGTCTCTTGGCCGGAGGTATCACTTTTGCTTTGATGCATTCTTCACCTCTATACTTGCAAACCCCACTTTATGAGTTTAACCTCTATTTTATAAAAATTATTTGCAAATTAGTAGTTTATTTAAAAGTAATTTGCTAGTCATGAGTACAGTTAGGCTCGTTTAGTTCGATGATTCGAGTTTTTAATTCGAGTTGAGATATAACTTTATGTGAGAGCTTTTTACTGCAGTAAAAAAGTTAGATGTGACTGTTTCTGAGAACTTTTTATTGTAGCAAAATTCGAATTCTAAAATCGAATCGGTGAAATGAACGGGACCTTATTTTCTTTCACAGGAGATTGGAAATGTCGTTAAAATGTCACGATGTTGAGAGGTGGATGGGCAATTGGCGCTTGCCAGAAGAACTAAGAAAGTATGCTTTCTAAATTATCTCCTTGATCAAATGTGTAACTATTTCTGTTCAGTGCATATCCTGTATCAAAAAAAAAAAAAAAAAAAAAAACATAATGTATCCATGACTTGTACGTGGGGCCTATTCGCAACAACTTGACCGTATTATTGGCCACCAATTAGGCAAGTACGGCGAGCTGAAAGGTGTAACTGGGCTGCAAATAGAGGTGTGAATGAAGAAATACTTTTGGAGTGTTTGCCTGAGGAACTTCAAAGAGACATAAGACGCCATCTCTTTAAATTTGTGAAGAAAGTATGTTACTACTTCTCTTTCCACTAGGGCGGTAAGAAATCACCCTGAACCCGACGAACCCGGCTAAGCCGAGCCGACCCTACTCGAAAATCACGGGTTTCTAATTTTTTATTTAATTTTCAGTTTTAATTATGCCTAACCCGCACTGCGCGGGTAGGGGCGCGGGGTGGGGTTACATGAACCCGAGGTAACCCTACCCGGTCGAACATGTGTAAAGTAGGTAAAATAATGTCCAACACTTCAAATTCTTACTTTCATAAGTTTATGGATTTTATGCTTTTAAACTGTTAACTTATTTATGTTTTGGATTCATAGTTTATGTAAAAAATGCTTGTATGTCATAGTTGTTGAATTATGACATTCTTTATTTATATTGGAAGTGTTTAATTTCAAAGTGAGTATTTTAATTGTTCACCTTGCATTTAGAACTCCTCTTGAAGGAAATACATGTTTTGTTTGATAATGATTTCTTCTGTAACAAGCACAGATTAATTGACTAAAAATTGATTAAAATTGATGAAGTCATAGATTAAAATTGGTTTTCACCAACCCGAGTAACCCGACCCTACCCGAGGTCACCCGAAAGATTGCGGGTTTGTAGACTTAAGAGAGTATCACGGCCTAAAATTTTCTCAACCCGCACAGATCAGGTAGGCTCAATTTTTCGGCTCAACCCTACCCTATCCAGCCGATTTACGCCCCTACTTTCCACGACACTGCAGTAACTTTTCTCTCCATTGCATTGCATCAATGATTTAAGACGGGACAAAACAGTCAATATCAGTTTTACAGAACGTACCGAATTTTGACACGTGTGCATTCATGATGTTCACAATAAAATTTTTCGTGATCCTATAACTTGTGTCTTCAGGTAAGAATTTTTTCGGTCATGGATGATCCTATCTTGGATGCAATTTACCAGAGACTAAAACAGAACACATATATCAAAGGGAGCAAAATTCTGTACTGTGGTGGTCTGGTTGAGAAGATGGTCTTCGTTGTGCGCGGAAAATTGGAGAGCATTGGAGAGGATGGGACTGTAGTAACCTTACGCGAGGGAGATTTTTTTGGTGAAGAACTACTCACATGGTGCCTTGATCAGCATTCTTCCGTAAACAAAGGTAACTCATATATTTATCATTTTAATTCACTAACTATCGGTTTTTTAAGATGGAATAAAATAAAGGGTCTATTTTGGCCTCATTATTTGGATTTTACTCATATATTTATCATTTTAATTGACTAACACTCCGTTTAGTAGGAGGGAAAGAAAAGAGAGAAAGAAAACACAAAAAAGAAAGAAAATGTGAAAGAAATGAATGAAGTTGATTTTCTTATATAGTGTTTAGTATAATGAGAGGACAAAAAAAACATGTAATAACCTAAATAACTATTTTATTAATTGTTTAATATTAATTTAGATTTTAAAATAGGGAGACAAAAATAAATTTACCCATCAATGAGTGGATTTAAATTTTCCTTTTTAATGTTGGAGAGATAAAAAATAGTGGCCCCACCATAATTCTTTTCCATCCTATTTTCATTTTTCTCATCTCTTCATTCTTACCAAACAACCAACTCTATCATTTTTCATCCAATAATCCCTCTACCTACTTCCTTCCTTCTACTTTTTCATCATACCAAACACACTCTAAGTAGACGTTTGGTTGATAGATTCAGAATCATGATTCAAAACTATTATCGATTTACGTGTGTTTTTTATAAGAGAAAATATTGTAACGAATCATGAATTATGATTTGAATCATGGCATGAATCTTAGCAACCAAACAACATGTGAGAGATTACTAAGTTTGGAATAAAATAAAGGGTCTATTTTGGCCTCATTATTTGGATTTTATGCAGAAGGGAAAGCATCCAAGTTTTTTTCTGGACAGAGATTACTGAGCAACAGAATGATAAATTGCTTGACTGACGGGATGGATTGGTAAACTAACATGGTATCAGAGCGGGAGGTCCTGAGTTCAAACCCCCGTAATTGCACTATTTATCCCCATTTAAATTGGCATCATGTGTTGGGTCTTAATTTATCTCGGGCTTAAATATTCACGTATTGAACTTTCTAATTAATTTACCCACACGATTGCCCATTGTCCAGCTCACACGTGAGAGGGAGTGTTATAGTATAAAACTATTGTTGGCCCACCTCCTAATAGCTTAAGCTTTTGGGATTGATTGGTAAACTAACATGGTATCAGAGCGGGAGGTCCTGAGTTCAAACCTATGTAATTGCACTCTTTATTCTCATTTAAAATTGTCATCATGTGTTGGGTCTTTAATATATATTGGGCTTAAATATTCACGTGTTAGGCTTTCTAATTAATTTACCCACACGATTGTCCATTGTTCAGTCCACACATGTGGGGGAGTGTTAAAGTATTAAACTATTATTGGCCCACCTCCTAATAGCTTAAGCTTTTGGGATGGATTGGTAAACTAACATGGTATCAGAGTGAGAGGTCATGAGTTCAAACCCCTGTAATTGCACTATTTATCCCCATTTAAAATTGTCATGTGTTGTGTTGGGCTTTTCAATTAATTTACATACGATTGTCCATTGTCTAGCCCATGTGAGGAGGAGTATTAAAGTATAAAAATTATTGTTGGTCCACCTCCTAAAAACTTAAATTTTTGGGCTTGATTGATAAACTAACAGATGTAGAAGCATTTTCGCTCCAAGCAAAAGATCTCGAAGAGTTCACCAGACTTGACGCAAGATTCTTGCGAAATCCCCGAGTTCAAGGAGCTATAAGGTACGTTTATTAGTCCCATTTCTCCATTTTTACCGTGCTACACCCTACTGTCAAGATTCATCTCTATCATTATTAGAAAAAAGAAATATGATCTGCGAAGTATAACCGGATAATAAAAGAGAAACAAAGACTATTTTACTAAAGCATATTTCATAGATTGTATTCGTTTTGATTATCTCTCTTTCTGCAACTGCCGCGTAAATTTATTAGCCATTATATATGCGTCTGTTGATAATAAAAATAATGATTTACGATAATTACGACGTGACAATGTTACGAAAAGATAAACAAAACTTCATAAGTATTATTCTATAAAATACTTTTTTTATTAGTGCTATTAAAGAAAAAAATTAAGCCATATGCTAAAGCATAAACTGGCATTGGCTTTTTCCAGGTATGAATCGCCTTACTGGAGAGGCCTTGCGGCAATCAGAATCCAAGTAGCATGGAGATATAAGAAGAAATGTCTAACTCATGCTAGGACCTCAATATCGTGAATAGATGACATTTACCGGAGCATCCGGGTGTCGGAACACCCGATCATCCAAACACCGGAACACCCAGAGCACTTGGTACACCGGAATACCAAAGATAAACCCAAGGAAGAAGCTGAGGCATCACTAGGAATCTCAACGGTTGTTGCTTTAAGACACTTAACATTCGAAGTAAATGCATATTAAGACCAATAAGTTCCAATATTAGAATGTAAAAGGCAATTTTGTATCAAGGAGAGGTTTAACTCTCAGATTTAATAGAGAATTTTACTCCTTGATCTCTATGGTACTATAAATTCCCTGAAATTGAGAGGAAAGGGAATGCACTCTAATTCCTTGTTTGCTACTTTGTTCTTGTTTACCTGTTTGTTTCTCGGGATTATTTATGTTCGTTGCGTGTTCATCCGATTTTCTTAGTTTCATGGTTCATTTTGTTCAAATTGTTAGTCTAAGAATGTTGATTTAGTGTTGATAAACAATATTAGTGATAGAAAAGCATTTTCATGTATATCACATGCTCCAAAAAGATATTTGCATTTGGAAAATACCGATTGACTATTGTGCTAGCCCCTGTTTTTATTTTAACTTTCCTTTTCTTCTTCTTTTTTGTTGTGACTATTGTTGGTAGTTTTGGAATTTCTAAGTAGCCAATAGAGACTGTTATCTTTTTTTTTTTTTTTTTTTAACAAAAGAAAGAAAATTTTACAAGCATATGAGAAGATTGCAAGAAAGCGTGGTAAAGTCTGAAATACAAACGACATTTCCTTCCAAATTTACAAACGACAGAAAAAAAAATCTAAACAAATAAACGGCATATCGTACAGAGAAAACAATAAAACAATCTTGTAGGAGAAATAACGGGTATATTTAGAATCCGTTTCAAAATGATTTTATTTTTTATATGAAAATAGAAATGAAAACGTTTTCAATCTCAAGCAGATATTATTTCTGAAAATGCGTTTAGTAGTTTTATTCTGAGATTGTTTTCAATATAAGAAAAAACATAAATACCATTTGATAATTCATTTATACTAATCTCAACTATTCATAAATCTAACATCAACAGGATTCAATCAATTCCTTAAAAAAAAAAAAAAAAAAGATTTGGATGGTTGCCTAAATCTCTCTATGTCTCCCACTTTGTTCTATCACTGTCAAATTACTGAAAAAAGCTCTAAGGACGATTTTCATACTCATATATATTTGACAATTCCCAGTGCAAGAACAATACCTAGTACAAGAAGACTCGCAAACCCAAAATCAACCACGATCATTAATTTGTTTTATAGGCTATGGTGATCAAAATACCACCACCAAAAGAATTTTTCTTAACAAAATAATAAAAATCAAAATCAAAACCTAGATATGCACCACCATTTCCCTCTGTCAGATCCGTGCCACCCATGATAGATCCGCACCCAACGGAGTCCATAGCTAGCCGCCGCGTTGGGCTTAGAAATCGCAACTGTCACCCTCACTGTCACCCTCACCGTCGGTTGCAACCGTCCTATCAAGCCCATAACTCTGGCTATAAAATTCATCCCCCAATTTTCCAAAACAAAGCAAAAGAAATCAAAATCAAATTAGTTGAACATGGAATTCATTGTAGAGCTTCTAGTTGTTCTTGAACAAGATCAACAAGATCTTAGAGAGAGAGAGATCAAGGGGTCCAGATTGAGTATAGGAAAGGGAAAAGGGAGAAGAGAATGGAAAAGAGGGCAAGAAGAGAACGGAGAAGAGAGAGAGAAGTGAAGGTAAGAAAAAATTTCAGAGACCGGAGACGGAAAGAAAATGGAAATGGAGAAAATGAAAATAACTTTAATTCATTTTCAGAAATGCATTAATTTTTAGAAAAGTACAAAATCGTTTTTGTTTTAATTTTAGTACGGTGCTACCCCAAACACGTTCTTCCTTCTATTTTCATTTTTTTCCTCAAAAAAACGTGAAAAACGTTTTTAAAAACAGAAACAAACATGTCCGCTAGCATTAGCAGGTAATTGATCTATATGTCGTTTTCGATATCAAATTGACATACAGTTAGACGACAATACAAAGTCATGCCGGATAATAATCTGAACAACAGCAAGTCTTAGTCGGTAAAAAACACGTCGTTCTCATATTTAAACGACAATAAAAGATAAGACGAACACTACGGGGGGAAAAGTTAATAAGGCGATTAAAGTCTAAAACTATGTCCTTTTAAGCTTGTACGACAGCACAATTCCATAGAAAACAAATTTTCGTAAAACGACATGTGTTTTACTGATTGAACAACAGGAATTTTGTTGTGTGCTACATGTCGTGTTTAACAATTAAAAAATGAGAGAATGAGAAAAATAGGTCAAGACTTGAGATGAATTAAAATTAATAGGCTAATAATTTACATAAGTTAATAAATAGGCTAAATTATTATATTCATCCATAACTTATCTGGTTATGAACCATAACTTATCTGGTTATGAACCATAACTTGATAAGTTTGTCCATAACTTATTTAGTTATGAACTATAACTTGACAAGTTATAGCCTATTAATTTCTATAACTAAAAATTAGCTTATATACTTTCTTAAGCTTTTTATATTGGCTTATTTCCTAAAAAAAACATCTCGTTGCTGGCTTGTATTCTTGCAAATTACTTAAATAACAGGTAAAACGATGTGGTTTACTGATTGCCCCTACTGGAATTTTGTCTTTATGCTGGATGTCGTTTTGTACAACAAAACCATGTCGTTTCTAGTTTGTATTCTAACAAATTACTTCAAAAACACGATTTTTTTTTTTTTTTTTTTGAATAGGAGAGGATCTTATTAAGAAGAAAGAGCCATATTCTTCCCAACAGTAAAGATCTTCAACTAATGAAAATGAAAATTTAACTGTGTAGGCATCTATATTACAAATCCGAGCAACATGACTACAAGTACCACTAATAGCTTTAGACATCAAGACTTTAATGTCATTCAATAAAGAAAAATCAGCGGCACAAGGGAAAATTTTGTTAACAGCACGAACCGCATTTATAAAGTCAGTCCCTTGTGTATTTTGATTTATAAAAGTTTTTGTTTATATACATACCTTAACAATAAGTCCACTCTTGTCTCTTGGTGAGTTTGTTTGTGATTGAAGGCGTGTTAAATAACAAACAAAATGTCGTTTACCTGAAACCATATCAAAATCAAACTCTAATGGGCATACCGACCCTTTTTTTTTTGGAATCCTTTTGGTATTTTTTTCTTTTTTTAAAATATTAGTGTTTCATGTTTATCAACCGTTAAATTTATATTATTTTTAATATGATTTAATTTTTTATCAGATTTAACGATTGATAAATAAAAAACACTAGTGTCTAGTGTTTTTAAAAAGAAAGAAATACTATTTTTCTTTTTCTTTTTGATGGAAATACCGATGTATCATATGCATATATGAAATATAGATTTTTTTTATCGATGATCCTGCTCGGCCTGGAAGACTCCCTAAAAAAATAAAAATGAAAATGAAAATAATGGTTAGAAGACTCCAGAATGTCAAGTACTTTTGAGTTTTGACTGTATATTCTTTTAATTTACAATGTAATATTTCGTTAATGGCGGTGGGAATTAAAAATGTTCCTTGTGAATTTTCCTTTGCTACTTGCAGCGTTTGCTCCAGAGATTACACTACCTACTAACACTGCCCTTAAACCGCCAACAATATTAGTTATACAATTTCTTTACATAAATAAATAAAAATAAAAAAACAAATCCCCTGAAAAAAATATATATAATTAATAGAAAAAAAAAAATAAGGGAAACAATTCCTTTACATACCTTTTTATTCCATGAATTCGTGCACTTCTATCATTTTTTTCTTTTTTTTTTCCTTTCCTGAACCCTAAACACACAATATAAGAACTAAAAACAACGAGAGAGAGATTTTTTCTTTTTTTCTTTCTTTCTTTCTTTCTTTCTTTCTTTTGTTCTTTTTTTTCTTTATGAGTTTATATAACTCAATTTTGTGAAAATAATAAAATTACGGGAAAGGCCCAAAAGTGTTAATATTTATAAAAAGGACATCATTCTTGCATGAAAAGAAACCAGTCGGCGCAGAGGCAGAGGCAGAGAGAGTCCCTCAAGACAAGAGGAGATGACCACCGTAGTGCCGCCGCTGATTCCGTTGGCCGCACCGGCCGTCTTCTCAGCCTTTCCGTACGCCTCTCTCTCTCTCTCTCTAAAATCTTTCTAAGTTTCCGCAACATGCTAGAGAAGAAAATGAAGGAAGGAATTAATGTGATCTTAATTGTTCGTCAGTTTTCTCTTTATTCTTTTTTGATGCATCAAATCATGGTATATTATCATTGCTGATCTGGGCTTAACAACTCTGAGAAAGTAAAAATAAAATATCATATGATTCTTTAATATGTTTCAAGAGAATTTCAAAATGGAAATTTTGCGCATCGATTGAGATGCATATCATATGCTTGTGTGTGAGCATGTCATATTTTTATACTATTTGTGTATTTTGGGGTGAATAAATTCGATATCTTTGATGCTTTAGATTTTTCAGTTTCATAGAATTTATTCCCGAACGGTTGAATATTTATATATGGCTCTTATATGACCTGAAATTCCATAGTCTAAGCAACCGAGTATGTATCCATCTTCTATTCGTTTTTTCTTTCAAAATTCACGTGTAGAAAACAAGTGTATTGGGGCATATAATTGAACCATGTTTATACTATGGAAGGAGCTTATTCTTCTTGAGTTGCTAATTGTACAGAACAAAGCAATCCCTGCAATTGCAAATTTATTTGTACCTCCTTGTTGCCAAACGGTCATAGAGATAGGCTAATGCTTATGCTGTTATTTGTTTAACCTGGAGGGCTGCAATAAACCCGTTTAGGTGTGGCTATAGAGTAGTTTAAACGACCATTTCAAATAAATAAATAAATAAAATATAAGAGTAGTTGAGACAGTCATTTATTTCATTTTTTTTCTGGTCTTGTAAAAGTTAGTCTAGTGGATATCTTATACAGAGAGAATGAGACGCATTAAAGAACCAACTTGTTTCCAAGAGACATGATTTCTACTGTATTTGAAACAAAATGGAGCGTACGTAGTTTTCAGACATGATTTCTATGGCTTTTGACTCTTCTAATACTAGAAACATATTCTTGATATAAAAAGCAAACAACTATATAAAGAAGTTCTGAAGTTGTAGTCTGAGTACATGGGTACTTAGACAGGAAAAGACCATCTCTAGCTTTATAGATTCATATCCCCGATAGGATTGAATCATTTTGTGCACTGCTATATCTGGTGTATCTTTAATATTGTTCAATAATTCCTATTGAGAGGATAAGAACAGGATTTTATTGATGAACTCTAGTTATTGGTCATATGTTAAGTGTAGTTAATTCGGTGTTTAAGCAGGAATGTGCATGTCATACGAGGAAGCAAGAGAAACAATAAGACATCGAGGGTCGTATTTGGATATAACTGGGATGCAGCGCCTGTATCAAGCAGCTGGAGTTCACAAGAGCATTGTCGGGAGCTGCATTCTGTCTCCTCTAAAGGTATGTCAAATTTTCTGTCAAGCGTGATGATACAGAAACTAATTTTGAACTTAGGCTTTTTTTTTTCACAATCAACAACTCAAACTTTTTGCTACATTGTTTTCTCTCGCAAAATTCAAATTCAACTTTTTTGCTATAGTGTTTTCTCTCACATAAATTCACTTTTTAACTCAAGTTCTCAATTCGAACCCACGAAAAGAACGGGTCCTTAATCTGTTTTGATAGCTTGGTATTCGAAGTAGAATTAATATATGAGCATCTAGAGTTTGTCTTTGATACAATCTCTCGTTTTTTTTTTCTCCCTCATGTTGTCTGCCGCCAGGGTGCTGCTTTTCTAGGAAAAGGTTGTGTTAAATGTGCGTTAGCTCTCATGCTAGTTGTGTTCTCTTGATTACATTTGTTGCATTCACCTCTCACTCAGCATCATTGTTGTAATTCTTTTCCTCTGGCCAAAGTTAATTGCTATAGGAGTATCTCAAAGTTTATGTTTATTTTTTAACTCCCGTTCTTATGATTTCCAGGAATGCCAATCTCCCACATTTCTGCTTCATCTTCTGTTTTCTTGAGTGGGGATCAAGGTGGTCTATCTGGAGGAACTCCCAGGTTATCGAATAAGCGCAGATCTTTGATGCGGCCACAAGCATGCACGAGCAGTTCAGACAGCCTACACTACCCTGCACTGACCGAGAAGCCAGAATGGTGGTGGAGGACTTTGGCATCAATCCCCTATTTAATATCTTTACAGATTTCTGATACAGGGTTCTTTGTCCAACCCTTGCTAAGCCATTATGACAAATTCGAGGATCTGATTTATTACATACCGGGTGGCGTTAAGAGGTGGTCAATGTGGTTTCCCATGCTATATTGCTACGTCACTTTCATTGGAGTGGTGAAGAAGAAAGAATGGCCTCACTTCTTCCGATATCATGTGATCATGGCCATGTTATTGGAAACAGCCCTTCAAGTGGTCTGGCACACGAGCAATTTCATGCCGCTCATTCACTTCAACGGGACTTTTGGGATGTACTATTGGGCAGCTGTGGCGTTCATTTACATTTTTATCTCGTTGGAATGCATAAGGTGTGCTCTTGGTGGAAAGTACGTAAAAATCCCATTTATTAGCGAGTCTGCATTAATCCATACTCTGTACCATGTAGGAGGTTTCTACAGGCCTTTCTAAGGTGTGGCATTGTCCTATTACTAGTTGTTGTGGGGGGCTTCTTTTAACGAATTTTACTCGGTACCTCGTTGCATTGCTTACGGGCAAGCTATTCTTAGACCTTGTTCATTTCACCGATTCGAGTTTTCAGTTCTAGGTTTTTACAGTAAAAAGCTTTCAGAAAATGTCACATTTAAATTTTCTGCTACAGTGAAAAACTCTCAGAAAATGTCACATCTCAGCTCGAATTGAAAACTCGAATCCGCGAAGTGAACGTGGAAACTTTTACTCGATGGCTACCGTCATTTTAGCAGTTTTGGCCAAATGTTGTAGTTCTCATTTGGGATTAGCCAAATTATAATGGGGTAAATGCAGGTTGAAAGTAATGTTGGTGTAGCGTCGTGGAATAGCAAAATGTCATGTTAATTAATTGGCAAATATGCTAGGACAACACTTGTGCAAATATGTTATGAGTTAGGACAACGCTTGTACAATAAGAAAAAGAACTCGTAGCCTGTTTGGTTAGACGGTTGTGATGGATTCGAATCTAAAACTCAATTCAAACCGTTATTTGGCTTATAAATTTTTGAATAGCTCGCATATAAAATGATAACAAAATAGTCACTATGATAAACGACATAATAGTAAAAAAAAAATGATAATTAAACTAAACATAAAAACTTTAATAAAATTATTAAACTAACACTAATTTTATTATTCTTCCTACAACAATTTGAATTTCGGTTTTGGATTCATTTCAACTCAAAATTGAAAGTTCTATAGAACTTTTCTCCCCAAAATTTTTTGGCTTCTAACTCTATATATTGTTCATTAAACTCATTTTCACTCACTTAAAAGCTCATAGGGCGCATTTAGAACTCGTTTAAAATTAATTTTATTTTTTGTATGAAAATGAAAACGTTTTCAATCTAAGACATAAATTATTTTTAAAAATGCGTTTGATAGTTTTATCAAGAGATTATTTTCAATATAAAAAAAACTCATTAATGTCTCTCTCTCTCCACTCGAGAGAGTAGTAAACGAAAATAAAAAATAAAAAATAAAAAATGACTCTATCTCATTTTATACTAAACTAAAAAATTATTTTCATTTTTATTTTTTATCTTTATTGCGCTAAATGCAATTTTAAAAACGTGTTCATTTTTTCTTTCTCAAAAAACATGAAAAATAAAAACGAAATTAATTCCATATACAGTTATAGTTTTGACAATGTAACCAAATACAGGTTTAAATTTTATTCTTTATTTCGACTTTACAGTATATAACCCCAATTTAAACCAAAAAAAACAAACTCATATTATAAATATACTAAAGGAGACCCACAATTCCAAATGCAGTTATAGTTTTGATGTAACCAAATACAGGTTTAAATTTTTATTCTTTATTTCAACTTTACAGCATATAACCCCAATTTAAACCAAGGAGACCCAGCTCTGCACTGTTCACGCACTCACGTTTCAGTGTTCATTGTACGGTGAATTTTTTCCCTTGGAATGCCCTTTTCCTTTCTTCTCTTCTTCTCCTTCTGGGCGGGGGTATTCCCGTCATTGGATCTCAGATTGGGCGAGGGCATTTTCGATGGTTCTCCTGTAAATGGAGCCATACGCTCTCTTGCCTCCTTCATCTTTTCATCTTTTATTTATTTGCTTTGTTTTGGGTTTGATTTTTTTGGTGCTTTTTCTGTAAATGGAGCCCTAGGCTCTTTTGGTTTTTGGGATTCGTCATTCTCCCTCTTTTCTGTTCGATTTCCCCATTTTCTCCGGTGATTTCTCTGTAAATAGAGCCCTTGGGTCTTTTGTTTTTTTAAATTTCTCATTTTCGCTGCTTCTCTCGCCCACTTTCGCCGGACGATGTGCATTTTTCCTTTAATGCATGTCATTTTGGATTTTTTTTTGTTTTCTTGTATAAATTCAAAAAAATAATTGCCTTCACGAAAGTTTTCCTTAACAAATATCACGAAAGGTGTAGAAAAAAAAATTTTAATCAAAATTCTTGTTACTTTCTTGTAAAAGTATTCCACGTGGCAAAAAGGGAGACCATACAATTGTTTCTCGCTAATTTATTGTTTCCCTCCAATTTATTTTCTTTTTCTACTCATTCTCATGACTTTCCCACTTCTTTTTACTCCATTTTCATTCTATGCTCCAAATTGTCTTTTTCTTTCCAGCCTCTTGGTTCACCATAATTTGACAAAAAAAGCTCCAAACTTACAGTAATTTTGATTTTTTTCCTTTTATTTTAGATAACACGTTTGGATTTTTTCCCCTTGTTTTCATGATTTTTTTTCTTTTCTTTTTTCAGCTATGCTTTAAAGAAATTTGCTACCATTAATCTCTTAGTATTTATACTAAATTTTCAGAAGATGATACGGAAATAAATATGAGTAGACGATGTCAATAATATATGCCTTTCGAGGAAGAAGACACAAATGACAAAAGAAGTGAGTGTTCAAGAGTGTGAACATATTCCGCAAAAAATAATACTAAAAATAAAAATGAGTTTGATCATGTCAGATGACAAGTTCATTGACTTAAGCTCATTTGCTTTGGAAAAGAAGTTGGTAAAGCTTTTCCATTTACAAAGGCTGCTGTAGAAATGTGGACTTGACATTGGCAACGAATTATAATTACTTAACGTGATAAAGAAATTTTGGACTTAACATTAAAATAAAAAAGAGTCCCACTTAAAAGTGGGTCGGCGATGTATGCAAATGTGGTTTTGAAAACTCAGTGCCCACGTGAGTGCTTCGTAATTTTTCGAGTTATAAAGACTTTGTTCGGCATAGTAGTTTTTGAGTGAAAAACTTAAAAAAAATGTAATTTTTATTCGAGTTTATGTTCTTTTAAATTTGAATTTGAGTTTAAACTCGAGTTTAGAACTAAAACTCGAGTTCAAGTTTTCCTCCTTCAACTCGAGTTCAGAAACTCAAACTCAACTTAATGAACATTATTTTTTCTATTTTTAAAAATAATATAACTTTTTCGTTTTAATTCTGATTGAGATGATTTTTTTTTCTATGCATTAACAATAAAAAGATGAATAAAACTATACCCATATACCCTATTAAAATTTTTCATCAGCATTGAGTTTTTATTAAAATACTATCTAAATACAAATTTAAGTTTTAACTTACTCAGACACAAACTCAAAAAAGATTTTTATCTCAAACCATAACTCAAATGTACACAACCAAACACAAACTCAAATTATAACTTCAATTCAAGTTATAACTCAAACTCAACTCAAAATCTACACTCAAGTTACGTAAGTCAAAAACATCAAAAGAACAAGCCCAAAAAATCGTGAAGTCCACTGGTCATAGGTTCAAATTCAAAGATACACAATTCAAACTTAAAGTGAATGGGACCTTATGTGTTTTGTCTAATTTGTGCTATGAAAGAAAGGTGTGCATTTAACTTTTGTTCTAAATTGTTCTAAAAATCAATTGACTTGTGTTGAGAGAGAAAAAAAAAAATTTAGCACGAATGGTCTCTGAAATGTTTAGTATGTGATCACGTCCTTAATTATTTTATTTTTACAAAAAAAAAAAAAAAATTGTATAAACAGTAATAAACCTGAATCCCGTATCGATTAAATGTAACAACAATCACTTATTTATAAAAATATTATATCACCTCACTTAATATATAAACTTTTAAGATGAAAATTCAAATTCTTCAAAAGTCCTCATTCCATCGTTTTGAACTCTTATAACGGATGAGATAGGTCAGAATTTATGTTTATTGCACATGATTTATTGTTAGGAAAAAAAAAAGATGAAATCATATTACTTCAAAAGAAAATATAATAACATTGATTCCTATTTAAAATTAATAAAAACAGAGGAAAATGAATATTAGCAAAAATAAAAACAAAAGGCTTAATGGGATTTGGGCGGCGGAGGAGTTGGGCTTGCGCGGTGGGAGGAGGCGCGGCGATGACATTTGGATAGGTAAGTGGATGGGGCTCGCGCGATGGACTGGGTCTCGAAGGGAGGAGGCACGATGTTTATGGGGCTCAATGGAAAATATTGTGTTGTGTTTGTTTTTTTTTTTTTTTTTTCGAAGTTATTTTAGTAAATTTAGCTAAATATTGGTGCTTGCACTTTCCCGTCTAACCCTTGATGTTCATTAACGATTTTAGTTCCTTTGTAATCATTTTAACATTTTAAGATGGTTTTGTCCAAATTAAAAGCTTAGTGAGCTAGTAGCCTACCAAATAGTTTTGAAACCATCGGTGAGAAAAGCCTAAAAGAACTAAAAGTTATTTATAAGTTTACTAAATAGACTCTGTACTTCGAGCGTAGCAAAAATAAAAGACCTTGGTTTAAAGATTTATGTTCTTTCTTAAAAGTACTATATACCTTCTACCATTATAGGGCATACTTCTAAGAAATGGACACAAAACTAAGGATTAGGCTAAAAGGTTTGATTTCCTAATTTTCTCTTGATTAATTTAGAAAGGTTAGTCAATTCCGATTAGGCCTTGGTTTTCCTCACATTTTTTGTCATTACGGGTGGGTGTGGTTGTTGGGTGGAACGGTAATCATCATGAGAATGAAAATAATACGAAAGGATTGTCCTAAAATAAAAACAGATTGAACCCTTTTGATTTCTTCCTCTTTTTTTTTTTTTTTAAGAAGATTCTTTTGTTTTGTTGAAGCTGTGCGGTTAGTATTATACGAGGATTATACTTTGGCCACTAACAATTGACTTTAATTGTCATTTTTTCAAGAACTCTTTGAAAAGTATTAAAAATATAGCAATACTTTTAAGACACCCGTAATGTTTAGCACTACTCACTAATAAAAAGATAGATCTTAAAGTATGAGACTCGTAAGTTACGTCTATCTTTTATTAGTGATGATACTTAACATTGATAGTGTTTCTAAACATCTTTCTTAAAAACAACATGTCCTAGCAGTATAACAGAATTCTCTAAACAATATTCTACGTAAAACCTAAAACATGATGGATAATTGTTCTACATCCATAAATTAAGAGAAGAAAGAAAATTCAGTAATAAAAAGAACAATAGGCTATATATATATATATATATATATATATATATAAATACAAATTACAATTAATAAATAAATTATTAAAAAGTTCGTAATATAAGAAATTCAGAACTCCTATTGATAACTGTGTAGAAAAAGTAGGATAACAACAAGGCAAGACGGGAATGAGAAATGATTCCCCATCTTAATACCTGCCTCTCTAAACTATTCCCATCCTCAATTAAGGAGAGGCAGGGTCAGAGTCAGAAATTTCTCATAAGGAGGCCATCCCCATACTTTATTTTCTTTTAAATAGAAGAAAATTATTGTGACTTAAAATAAAATAGATTAAAAATTTAGTATAAATTTAGATCAAAATTAAAGGTTTCATAATACAAACTAAATTTAAAACATATGCAAACTAAATCTGAGAGCCATAAATAATAATGTGGTTACCTTTTTTTCCTTTTTTTAAAGTAAAAAGTAAATTTCAAATATATATATATGTATATATTTACATAAAAACTATATAACATAAATATATTAGGGTGGGTGTGGGGCGGGGAGTGCTTCCCTTGTTCCCGTCTCGAATAAGATTTGAAGACTGAGCTCCCGTTTGTTTTATTAGTTTAGCTTAGTTCAACTTAATTCGAACAGTTAACACAGTTTGAACTCATGTTTGGTAAGCACACAGTCTAAATTATATTCCCTATTTGAACTAAGTTAAACAATCCAACTTAGAGTTTACATATCCCCCAAGTTCAACCATTCGAACCATTTTTGAACAGTAAAAAAGTATCAACTATCTTTCAAATTAAAATTTCCTTTGTGCATCCAAACGCTAATTCAAATTACAATTTAGACTACACGGTTCGAATCTTTCAATTAAAATAAAAAAGTTCAAATGAACAAAATTCGATCCAATGAACCAAACGAGAGCTAAATTTTATCTTTATCTTAATTCCCATCTCTAATAATTATCTCTCATCCCCACCCTATTCAGAGCAGAGCCCCGTCCCGATGAGAAATATTGTCATCCCTAACCAAATATTATCTTTTCTGTAGCATCCCGCTTTATATTTCAATAAATAAAGCACTTTTATAATGAGAAAATTACAATAAAGTACAATACAAAAGCTAATCTTGATGTTCCCGTACAACTTGATGTTTTCGTACATGTCGATCCCATGCTCTAGTGTCGTAATGACACATAATTATAACTCTAAGTAAGAAGATAATGATAGCTAACATAATAAAGTTTATAACTATTAGGAAACTATTATCATAAAAATAAACAAGAAGGAGATTGTTGAGGAACATTTTTAAAGAGTGAAATTTGTGGGTAAACATGAAGGTTAGAAAACTCAATTATTTATAAGGTAAAAATTACTCGTTTTTTACCGTTAGAATAGTGACTGGATGATTTTGCCCTTAGTCGTTATGAAGTGTATTTTGACCGTTGGAATAATTGTTGGGATCAATGATAGGATGATTTTTGCGCTTATTATCTGTTGGGAATAATTTTTTTACTATTTGAAGAAAATAATTGTCAGAATAATATTTGGATGATTTTTACCTTGGTTAATATTTCGAGTAAAATATAATTAGAGATATCAATCGATGTTCGAAACAATGGAGAATTATGGAGAAGACTATAACGAATAATAGTAAAGTCAGAATTCAATTTTGATAGCCCGATGTACTAGTTTTAAGAAAATGACATTTTGGAAATAAATAATTATGGGCCGAGATGACTTGATAAACAATTTACTACTCTCAAGTGCAAGTCAAGAATTATGATGAATAAATCAGAAGGCAAAAATGATGAATATAAGGGATAGAAATTGATGTTTTATTATCAGGCCCAAATAGTAATGGGCTAATAAATAGTGCCCAGCCCAAATAAAAAAAAAAGAGAGAAAGATCAGAAGAGAGTGTCGGTAAGGATAAGAAGATTGGGTATGAATTATTATAAAAATATAATATGTTAATCAAAAGTTACTATTCACAAATAATATTATATTACGCATAGTAACTGCATAGCACCTCAGAGTTTTCTTATAAATAGGCATTCAGAATTCATTATTCATTGTTCCAGAATTTTAGAAACGAAATTCTCCCTCTCCCTTTCTCTAAAATACCTCTTCTTAGTAGAGGTTCTAGTTCTAGTCTTTGAGGGTTGGAGTTCTGCTGATAAGGTATGAGTTCTAAACTCGTTACTATTTATGCTTTATAGTTTTATTTTATTATGGTACTACTTAGGTAAATAATCCAAGTTAATCTATTATAAGTCATTACAATGCTCAATTATTGTATACATGAATAATACTCGTATGCATGAATAGTGTCTATATACATGAATAGTCCCGAATGCATAAATAGTCCTTATATACATGAATAGTACTCATATACGTGAATAATACCGTATATGTGAATAGTACCTATGCATGAACCATACCATATGACTGAACAATACCGTATATGTAAACTTTACGGACTCTGAACAAAGGACTGAAGAACTAAATAATTGGACCTAATGGACAACATGACAGGACAAATTTATGGACTTGAAAGTGTGAAGTAAAAATGGAATAACAATACCATATGTTTAATTATTATGTTAGTATCATTAAGCTATTTTGGTTACTTATATAGTATTGTGATTGTTATTATATTGGTTAGGAGTATATTTTTCTACGGAAAGTTGAGACAAGGTAAGCAAAGTTCTCACATACAACACAAGTTAAAATATATTGAAATTTTTTTTTCAGTACATTTATAATTGCTATATTCTGGTTATAACTTCTCATACAGTATCTTTACATTCGCTATGTTGAAGCATTGCATTCACTTTAAAGTTGAAAGATAATAGGAGATGATGCCTAAGTAATTATTTAGAAATTATTTTAAGGTCATGTACCTTCATAGGAGCGCAGAGCTCAACAGAAGTTATTAAGGCAATAGTTGGCAATTAAAGAAGTTAAAGCTTACTCAGATAGTACTATCCAGGGCCCTATGATGAACAAAAAGAATGAAGCAAAGTATGAGCATAAATGAGTTTTAACTTTCATGTGAGATAATGAATTTGCTTACTGAGCGTTAGCTCATCAGTTTATTTATATTTGTGTTGTAGGTAAGGAAAAACATACACTAAATTAAATTGGAGAATAAGCAATGTGTCAAGCTGACGTGTTAGTACATGTTGAACCGACCTATTGGAAGATAGTTTAAAACGGGGCACCATTATATTTTGAATAATTATGAGTGTGTATTTAAGACTTTATGGTGTGAAATTTTATAAAGTATGTTATGTAATAAAAGTTTAAATTTGTTTATATATTTGTGTAGTACGTGTTATATATTTAGATATTTGTATCTCTGTAATAATAACATTTTAAAAAGAGAATGTTACATTTTCTATACAATTTTTATCCTTTTTATAGAGAAATAGTTTTTTATATCTCGTTATATTACTTTTCTTAAAAATGAAATTCTAAAAAAAAAGAAAAAATCTTAAAAAGAGGTATCTTTTTTAATAACATATTAATAAGTCAAAATTTTAATTTATTAAATATGTATAAAATTATATAAAAATGAAAAAATACACATATTTAACGATTACAAAAATCTTTTAACGTATAAGAGAATCTTCTAAAGGAAAGAAAAGGAAAGAAATAAACACGAAAGATGAAAATATATAGATATATTTGTGTGAATTATGTCGAGTAGGACTCGGCGAAGGAGAAGCAGCAAGATCATCACCGTTTCTTACCAGATCTATTGTTATATATTTAGATATTTGTATCTTTGTAATAATTACATTTTAAAAAGAGGATGTTACGTTTTCTATACAATTTTTATCCTTTTTATAGAGATATAGTTTTTTATATCTCGTTATATTACTTTTCTTAAAAATGAAATTCTAAAAAAAAAGAAAAAATCTTAAAAAGAGGTATCTTTTTTAATAACATATTAATAAGTCAAAATTTTAATTTATTAAATATGTATAAAATTATATAAAAATAAAAAAATACACATATTTAACGATTATAAAAATCTTTTAACGTATAAGAGAATCTTCTAAAGGAAAGAAAAGGAAAGAAATAAACACGAAAGATGAAAATATATAGATATATTTGTGTGAATTATGTCGAGTAGGACTCGGCGAAGGAGAAGCAGCAAGATCATCACCGTTTCTTACCAGATCTATTGTTATATATTTAGATATTTATATCTCTGTAATAATTACATTTTAAAAAGAGGATGTTACGTTTTCTATACAATTTTTATCCTTTTTATAGAGAAATAGTTTTTTATATCTTGTTATATTACTTTTCTTAAAAATGAAATTCTAAAAAAAAAGAAAAAATCTTGAGGTATCTTTTTTAATAACATATTAATAAGTCAAAATTTTAATTTATTAAATATGTATAAAATTATATAAAAATAAAAAAATACACATATTTAATGATTATAAAAATCTTTTAACGTATAAGAGAATCTTCTAAAGGAAAGAAAAGGAAAGAAATAAACACGAAAGATGAAAATATATAGATATATTTGTGTGAATTATGTCGAGTAGGACCCAGCGAAAGAGAAGCAGCAAGATCATCACCCTTACTTACCAGATCACAATTCACAAGTAACTGTGAATGAAAGGACACTCACAAGATTCAGCTGCCACTATCAAAATCTCGTCAGGCTGACACGATCTAGCCAATTGAAAATTGGAGCTGGGAGGGACAAATCAATCGCCTCTGCCTGTGGCCCAAATTCTCTCTCTCTTTCTCTCTCATCGAACCTTCCTCTCTTTCCTACTTCGCGGCGGCCGCAGGCGGCTCCTCCAATTTCGCCACCAACAATAAGAAAAAGGTCATAAGCTCAATCTTCATTAATCCCCAAGAATTTCAATCCCAAAGCTTCTTTTTCTCGCAGATCTGAGCAGACTTCCATTTTTGGTCGAGATTTTTCTGGAATAGATTGGCTTCGGAAAATGAGACGGAGACCGCAGGACTTTCGCCGCCCCGTGCGGCGGCGGTTCTCGAATGTGCTGTGGTGGTCGCTTTGCGCCGTGGCGGTCATGCTCTTCATCTACATTTTGACCAAAGGGAATCAGATTGAGTCCGGGCCCGCCATTGCTAGAGTAAAACTCAAATTTATATCTCACTTTTCTGACTTCTTCTTGTTTATTTCAATTTTTTCCGTTTTTAAATTGTGACGAATTTGGGTTGGGATTGGAATAAGAAGTTCGTTGCTTTGGGCATTGCGGCCAGTGGTGGTGATGTCTTTCAATAGTGGACAAGATCCAATCTTTTTGCATGTCTTGGATTTGTATCAATGTTAGGGGATTTGCAGTGATTTTGGAAGAAAATAATAAGCTCTTAGTTTGGTAATGATAATAAGTTCTTATAGATCAAATGGAGTGGTTGAATTAGTATAGTTTGTAAAGAAGACTAGTCTATTGACATCGATCAGTCCATGTTTGTCCAGACAAAAAGCAGTCAACTTTTGATCAGTCCATGTTCTTTCAGAGGAGGAATTTGATTTTTCATTAGGACTCGTTTGAGAAAGAATGTAGTGCTTACTGAGTTGTGTTTACTGATTTACTAGACTGTTCTGCTGTTTTATATTCTCAAACTCGGTTACAAAGTAAGGAGGCATTCTTTTATTTTATCTTAGCTTTGATAATCAACATACAATTTAGTATCTTCACAAAGGCCTATAGTGTGTGTTGACTGTTACCCAGATGATAGATTGCTAGGGGCACTTCTTTAGTAACTCTATGAAGGAATATTATGTGTGTTATCGGAATGATGAATTATTAGGGGCACTATTTACTGATTTTCTCTGGGATGAAGAATGTGCTTTTCATCTTGTGCAGAAATCTTACAGGCAAGAAAAGTTTATGGAAAGTCTTAACATTACAGAAGAAATGCTGAACCCTAACTCAGTGGCACGGCAGCTGAGCGACCAAATTTCTCTTGCAAAAGCTTTTGTTGTGATTGCAAAAGAGAGCAACAACCTTCAGTTTGCTTGGGAATTAAGTGCCCAGATCCGCAATTCACAGATCCTCCTCTCAAATGCTGCAATAAGAAGAGCTCCTCTTACAGTTAAAGAATCAGAAGGTGCAATCCGGGATATGGCAATTCTACTCTATCAAGCCCAGCAATTTCATTACGATAGTGCTACAATGATCATGAGACTGAAAGCCAAGATCCAAGCTCTGGAAGAACAGATGAGCTCCGTGAGTGAGAAGAGTTCGAAATATGGGCAGATAGCTGCTGAAGAAGTTCCAAAAAGTCTATACTGCCTTGGTGTTCGGTTGACTACTGAATGGTTCAGAGATTTAAGTCTACAGAGGAAAATCAAGGAAAGAAAGCAAGTGGACATGAAACTTAAAGACAACAATCTCTACCATTTCTGTGTCTTCTCTGACAATATCGTTGCAACCTCAGTTGTGGTCAATTCAACCGCTTTAAGTTCCAGACATCCGGGGAAGGTTGTCTTCCATCTGGTTACCGATGAAATAAATTATTCAGCGATGAAGGCCTGGTTTTCCATGAATAATTTCCGTGGAGTGACGGTTGAGGTCCAAAAGTTTGAAGTCTTTAGCTGGCTAAATGCATCTTATGTTCCTGTTCTTAAGCAGCTCCAAGACTCTGAAACTCAGAGCTATTACTTTTCCGGCAGCAATGTCGATGCTCGGACTCCAATCAAGTTCAGAAACCCTAAGTATCTGTCCATGCTTAACCACCTCAGGTTTTATATTCCAGAAGTATTCCCTGCACTGAAGAAGGTGGTCTTTCTTGATGATGATATTGTGGTTCAGAAGGATCTAGCCGATCTCTTCTCCATAGATTTAAATGGCAATGTTAATGGAGCAGTGGAGACGTGCATGGAGAAATTTCATAGATACCACAAATACTTGAATTACTCTCATCCTCTCATAAGATCGCACTTCGACCCCGATGCATGTGGATGGGCGTTTGGGATGAATGTGTTTGATTTGGTTGAGTGGAGGAAAAGGAATGTCACCGGAATATACCACTATTGGCAGGAAAAGAATGTCGACCGATCATTATGGAAACTTGGTACGCTGCCTCCAGGGTTGTTGACATTCTACGGGCTGACACAGCCTCTGGATCCCTCGTGGCATGTGTTGGGGTTGGGCTATACAAATGTTGATCATCAGTTGATAGAGAAGGGTGCCGTGCTGCACTTCAATGGGAACTCAAAGCCATGGTTGAAGATTGGAATAGAGAAGTACAAGCCCCTTTGGGAGAAATATGTTGATTATTCTCATCCTTTAGTGCAAAGTTGTAATTTCCACTGATTTAGGACATGGGAAGTTTATTACATCTATTCCACGATAGAGTTGGTGCATGAGAAGATCTGATTTTTTTTTTTTTTTTTTGGTGTGGTGGGGGGGAATGCTTGTATGATTTTTGCTATATCAAGCATGGCTAGTGGTTGAAAGATGAGTTTTAAGTTTATTTTCATTTTTTTTTTTTTTTTTTGGTGTGGTGGGGGGGAATGCTTGTATGATTTTTGCTATATCAAGCATGGCTAGTGGTTGAAAGATGAGTTTTAAGTTTATTTTCTAATTTCTAGCCTGTTGTGTAGTGTAGTAGATCATTTGTCATATATGAACTATTCAAAAATTGTTAGTACCCGCTTCTATTCCCTATAGCAGTACAAAATTTTTTTTGGTATAAGTGGCTTAGTTTGATGAACAGTACCTTGCCATCTGTAATTCGAACTCCTTTAATGGGTCAAGTTCCAGAAGATAAGTAATTTTTAGCTCGCTTTTACATTTTAAGTTCCTCTTTGTTTGTATGGACCTTGTTATTTGTTTCTATCTCCTTTTATTCTTTTCATTTCATCACTCCTTGCTGAAAAACAAATATTTTGAGCGTCACAATATTTGAAATTTCTGAGATGATTTCGAATGTTGACGACGGAGTGGACAGTAGTTCAGAAGAAAAGTCGCAAGGCAGCAGGTTGGTAATGTGGATACAGGAATATCCTATAATAAAATGATTTCCAGCATAGCATTAACAAGGTCGTTGTAGTATAGTGGTGAGTATTCCCGCCTGTCACGCGGGTGACCCGGGTTCGATCCCCGGCAACGGCGCAAAACTTTTTTCTTGCCTTTTTTCTCATGCAAAAAGAAAAGAAATGGATGTAAAGAGTGGACTTTGCTATATAATACGTAAATTCCTTCCCTCGTACAGGTAGAAGTGATGTTAAACTATATTGTCAAAACGTAATTCCTTCAATCCAAAACAAACACCATACTCATTACATTAGTTTTAAATTTTTTTTTCCCATCCTCGATGTTAGTGTCATTCAATTGTAAGTTGTCTTATTGTAATTTAATGGGCGCGGTTAAAATTCATTTTAAAATAATTTTATGTTTTGTATGAAAATAAAAATGAAAACGTTCAGAGCCCTAGTGAAGCGGTACCTCCATGGTGAACACCAACTCACACCGAATAGCCTTTGTTGCATCGTCACTTTCGGATCAAGATCCAGGAGAGGCTTTTGCGCCCACCTCCTTCTCTTCAGAGATATGGAACTCCAAGCCATCAACATTCCCATCAACATTTGGGAAAACAACATACCTTGATGCAAACCCCTTAAGCCTGCCCACCACCCATGAAAAGAAAGACTACATAGGGGCTTCGAAGCCCCTCTCCTCTCTCTATAACTAGAGAGGTAGGCAACCCTAAGTTTAGAGCCACCTTGATTCGGGATGTCGGAACACCAACCGGATCGGAAACTAATTCCTAAACTGACTTCGGAACATGTTCGAGAGCTTCGATCGAAACCCTTTCCTATCTAGTGTCAGCTGATCCTTCAGCGTCTGCACCAACTAAATCGGAAGCTTAATTCGAAAGACGAGAGTAGGCTCGAAATTATTTTTGAAAATGCGTTTGGTAGTTTTATTAAGAGATTATTTTCAGTGTAAAAAAATCAATTAATGTCTCTCTTTCTCACTCTCTATTCGAGAGATGAGAAAACGAAAATAAAAAATGAAAAAATTTAGTCTTTTTTTATTTCTCTAACTAAAAAATCATTTTCATTTCCGTTTTTTATCTTTATTGTGCCAAATACTATTTTAAAAATATTTTTATTTTTTCTTTATCAAAAAACATAAAAAAATAAAAATATAATGAATTCCAAACACAATTGATATTTTTTTGGTCAGTCGATAGGCCATGTACGTAGCACTTTGCCAATAGACACAACTCTAGGATGTCAGTATTCAGTAGCAAATGATAACTGTTTCGAAAATTTATGATTTTACATTTAAATAATATAACTCAAGCCACAAGTTTTTTTTTTTTTTTTTTTTTTTTTTGGGAAAAAAAAAAAAAAAAAAAAAAGCTCGAACGTCAAGCCATGAGGCATTAGATAGACGACAGCTTTGCAATCAAATAGATGTAACATTTGCTTTATTTTTTTTAGCCGGTGTAAACTGTTATTTCTCCCATCATGTAACTATTGAAAATAGTGTTTAAAAATATGAGATATAATAAAATATTTATTATTTAATTAATAAAAAAATTTATTCATCATTTTATGTGTATATATTTATGAATATCAAATGAAAATTCTGTGATTGTTTATGTAACCTTAAACATAGTATATAAGTGTTATATACGAGAGGATAGTGTTTAAGGATAATAATAAAAAACATTGTTCATGATGAATTTAATTAAAGTTCGGAATCTTTAATTAAAACATTGTTAATACATGTCATTCTCATTTAGAATGGAACGGTGTTATCCGCACTGTTAATATGACGAGATATTGAATGAGTGTATTTCGCATAATAAGATTATGTGGAACAAGGACACAGACACAATATGAATTTCTAATAATTTCTGTTAAGATAGAAATTCTAATTGAGTCTACCGATGGTCATATATAGGATGATCTTAATCCTGAGTTCTTAACAAACTCCTATTTATGGATTTATGTCTTTTGACTTACTCGGTACGGATTCCGAAACCCTGAATCCTATTCCTTGTATTTTGGAGACATGAGGAAATATGTAGCTGGGAATGTTATTATACGAGATGGAATCCATTCCTTCTTGAGAAAGAAGTAGATAAATAATTCTCTTGAGTGTTGATTCGGTACTTGGATTAGTAAGAGCGCTCTGGTTCATGAATGTGTTTTATAAATCACTATCCATTAGAGAATCAATGGTACTCAATGATGCAGATATAATTAGAGAG